TCTTATAACTGGCAACTGTTGGCATTCTGTGAGCCTAGTACCATGGGGAATTACTGAGCATGGTGAGATTCGCTAGACTCCAAATTTAACATGTTTCTAAATAGAGAAGATGTAAAAATAACCTAGATTATATTTTTGAAAACTATTGCCAAAGTTGATACATTGGCCCATCCAATTGTTCTCACTGTGAACATTTCAGAACTCTCATGATGCTGGACAGCTTCCTAACACCTGTTCAATACAATAATGCACATGCTGTCTAACCAATACTGAAAACAGAGGAACTATTTCCTTCCTTGTTCTGAACAGAATATTAATGCAGCCTACAATTGCTTTAGCTTTGGGACAGCCCCATTATATGGTTAATTTATTCTGAGTTAATTTATTCTGGCAGGCAGATATTTTGCACAAGAACTAAATTGAGCCGATTATTTCTATTTTGAGCTTATAGAGTAGAATTTGTAACCCATACTCATGATTTTACATTCATTCCTATTAATTATAATTTGTTGACTTTAGCACATCATTTCATGTGTCAAGATATTGGAATTCTGATTTTGCATTCCAGCATATTAGCCATCACACCCAGATATGTGAGGCTTGTAGAAGAGATAAGCATGTGCAATATGTGCTCGCTTTAGCCCCTGGTAAAACTACTGAAGAGGCTAGCTCTGAGGACAGTGATCCTTCTAGTTACATTTGGTCCATTAATCCACAACTTGGGTGTATTGCAGCTCAGTTAAGTAAGAAGGCACCCAAATGTCCTATCATTCAGCCCACATGTGTCTTTTGTTTAACAGAGAGATCATGAAAGTACTTTCCAAATAACTCACTATAGTGAAGAAACACTGTGTCTGCTATATTCCTCTGAGCCTCTGGTCTAACCATTCAATCATCAAGGAAAATGATATAACTTTGATATGATTGTTGTTAGTGAATGCAAGCTGGCTGATATTAACCATCACTTCCTTTCCTAAGGGTTCATAAACCATCTGTTAAATAATTAATTTAAGATTTTCACTAGGGAGTCACATGTAGCCCCTCATCATTAATTTTCATAATGTACCCTTTTCCCTTTAAAGATAAGTATTAGTGCAAAAATTATGTATAAATAGAGTATTCTCAGTTGATAATTGGGGCAAGAGACTGCTGCTATACTTAGCAAGAAACAGCAACATAGGCAACAGAAATAAAAAAACAAAGGACATATTCAGTGAATGGTGAGGGCTCAGCGTGATGGAGCAGAGAGTTCTTGAATGGTATAGTAAGAGTTAGATTAGAAATGAAGGTTGTGGGTTGATCATGTGAGATGGTTACTGGGACCCTCTCGATGTGTTTGAACTTTACAAGTGTGAGTCCTGATCCAGGGAACTAGAAGTGGGAACAGAAAAAAGGTGGCAGATGCTAGTGATATTTTTATGAAATAAAAAGATGAAAAGTTTCGACTTGGGGTGTGTAAAAGAAATGACTATAATATTTTGGGTATTTCTGGCTCAAAATATATTTGCGGTGTTTACTAACTTACCATTTGTCATTTACCAGAGAAAGTAGAAATTAATTCAATTAGGAGTGGAAGAGAGGTAATGTATACAGATCTGGACACATGAGTCCATGATAGGGCACATTAAAATGGACATGAAAACCTGAAGTCCATAAGAGAGGACAGGACTAGAAATGTAGATCCTGGGAGTCCTCCCAGACTAGGTGGTGGAAGCTCAGCTAGGAGCCCCACTGTGGTGTCCAATTCCAGGGAGCACCATTCCCATAGAATTATATAGCGTCCACGATGCTCCCAGGAGTAGCTATAGTGACTGGCACTATAAGAACTTGTTGAGATTGTAGTATAATATTATCACAACTGCCCCTAGTAGTAAGAATAACTTTGTTCTTCTCTTTGCTTCCCATATACCTTTAAAAGTCCTTCTTAATGTTTTCAGCCTTTTTTTTTTTTTTTTGTACATTTCAGTTTTTTCTAGGACTTACTGATAGTATTCATATAGATTCACACTGGTGGATGTTCTTCCCTCCATATTTTGTTCACAACTGCTTCACATATAAGCAAAATAAAGAGCTCCTTTTGCAGTTACATTAGCTTGTCTCTTTCCTACTAGGATCATTTGTAATTGTATTATCTGAAGGTTTCTCATCATCCTTGGCATAAATTGCTAATTTCTTTTCTTTGATGTTTCTTTTGAGTTCCACATCATAAAATCTTAGTGATACGCACTAAGCCATACTTACCTTTTTATGAAAAAGAAGTTGGGTCCATGTGGTTATTCCCCATGTTCCCCAGTGACTCAGCTGAGGTCTTAATGACACTCTGCATCCCCTCTCCACTACTTTCTCATGTGATTTACTACACATTTCCCCTCTAAATTCTGATCTCCACATGCTATTACTGTGTTCTTTAAAGTTTATCTCTGAATTCCTACCCCCTCGACCAACCTCTTAAACTTTCATTGGAAAGGTTCTTGGTCCTTGAGATCACCTAACAAATATTAAACCTTGTATGTTCCCACCTCCTGGCCTTTTGCTACTTCCTCCCTGCAGCCACCTCTCTCTGACGAGTCTGGCCTTCCTCTTAGGCTTCTAACCAACCTACTGGAAATTCCTTTTTGGATCACAGGAACCACACCAGAGATTTGGAGTGGGGGAATCCCTGCGTCTACCGGTCGGCAGGCAAAGCGGAAGGGAAATTCCTCAATCAGAACATGAAACTCAGAACCAGAAAATGCTAGATTAATTCTCAGTGCTCTCATTTATCCGCTTTGTCATATAGAGAGAAACCACTCAAATTCCAGAACCTCTGTTTTCTCATCTATAAAATGGAAGAAATAGAATCCACAAAAAGCAAGACGGAGAATCCTCTGGACGATCATATGCAATAATACATGAGAAAGAATTCTGTAATCTATATAAGATAACAGACTCTTATTATTTTATTTTTTTTGTTTGTCTCTTTTCTTTCAACTACAATGGTAAGAGATATGCTCCTGGTACTCTCAGTTGGAAATTAGAAGCGTACGTACCATAGGACATTATTACACATGAAGCGCATTATTACACATGATTACTGGCACAGTGGTAATCATTCAACACATATCTGTTGAGTCCCTACCATGTCCTAGCCCCTGCTGACACAAAGGTGACTATGATAGTCTTTGCTTAAGCTTACAAGAATTTCCACACCAGCTGCCAGTCATTTCTCTAAAATGTCTGATCATGTGACTCTCCTGCTCGAAAATCTTTTTTTTTCAATTGTAAATTCATTTAGTCACTCATCATCTTCAGAGAGCTTACTATTGCTGTCCCACATGATAAATACTGGAGACACAAAGGTCAAACACGTCTTTGGTCATCAGCCCTTTCACCTTGGCCTTGTTTCCTGAGTACACACTTTGCTTCGAATATTCCTAAAATGGCACTTCCTTTCAATTGATTGATTCCTACATATTTTTCAAGGCTCTGATTAGCCTTAAGGGAGCATCGTGTCAGCTGAGATAGGGCCACCTGCGTGCTCCCTGTGCACTCTGTGCATGGTGCCATAGAACGTCTTACTACTCAGGGCCTGCATTCTTAGACTGAGAGCTTGCTGAGAGAAGGGACCCATGTTTATTCCCCTCTGTGTGTCCAGGACCAGCTAGATGCCTTGGCACCAAGGCTGCTCTCAATAACCATGAAGAAGGAGATACATAAACACATAATTACTACAAAAGGGCTATGCACAATAATGGTTTGTGCTCACTACTTTGGGAGTTTGGCATGATCAATTCTGCTGGGAGATGCATGATGACTTATCACCTTAGGAGTTACCTTTTGAATTGGAACTGTAGACTGAGCAGCAGCCTGTCCAGTGGGAAAAAAGTGGTGGGAGACATGTACAAGTTCAGGGATCAGGAAAGAACTTCGTTATTTCGGGAATGGCAAGTGGGTAGATGGGCAGTACCAAGAAAGGAGACCCAGACCAGACCATGAAGAATTTTAGACTTTCTCCTAAAGACAAGAGGGAGTCACTGATAGATTCTAAGTACAGGAGAGACAGATTCGTAAATTACATTGAGTTCTTCCTTGACTTTAGGTCCACTGTGAGCTAAATAATTGTTTCTCAGTCTTTAGTCATTCTTTGTACTATTTATGTGTACCTATTCATTTACTTAATATCTTTTATCTAAATTTATTCTTTTATTACAGTTAGCTTTATTTAAAGAGGAAATTTTATATATAACCTTCATACATGGGCAATCTGTCAATTTCCAGAAAAAAAAAAATATACACATACACACTTTTTTAAAAAAATTCATTTCGGTGTCGGCCCTTAGAACACAACAAGCTTTCTAAAATAGTCTTCAGGGACCTGGAGCCATGCTCTGAGATATACTAGACTAAGTAGCTCTTTGTGGGCTGATCAGGTTTCGTTTCCTCGTTTCTACATATAATGTAATTGTGTTAGAAAATGCCCCTTGGCTGTTCATGGTGGCTCACTCCTATAATCCTAGCACTTTGGGAGGCAGAGATAGGAGGATCACTTGAAGCCAGGTGTTTGAGACCAGTCTGGGTAATATAGCAAAACCCCATGTCTACAAAAAATTTTTAAAAATTAGCTAGGTGTGGTGGTGTGTGGCTGTAGTTTCACCTACTCGGTAGGCTGAGGCAGGAGGATCACTTGAGCCCAGGAGTTTGAAGTTGAAGTGAGCTATGGTGATACCACTTTACTCTAGCCCAGGTGAAAGAGTAAGACCCTCTCTCAAAAAAAAAAAAAAAAAAAAAGAAAAGGAAAGAAAAAAAAGAAAATACCTCTTTTTTCAAATAAGAATCTTACAAATATAGTTTTTTAATGCAATGTCTTCATAACTTACGGGATTCCCTTTTCTCAGACTGATCTTCCTCCTCTCTGGTTCAAATTTGTAAAGTTTTTCTATAAGTACGATTCATAAAATTTTTCTTTAATAAAAACTCTCTGGTTAAAGAAAGTTGTTTAATTTTCTTATCTTTCGGATTAGAATGGAAAACGCCTCTCTGAACAAAGGAGCGACCCAATGGTAGTGGATGAAGTTTATGACTTTCACCAGGGCACATACATATGTGATTACACTCAGTCGGATAATGCAAGTTCATGGACAGTCAGAGCTGTTGTTCAAGTGAGAACCATTGGTAAGTGAGATTTTTGTCTCAAGATTTGAGATCTTAACCCTAATTGACCAAATTAAAATTATCGTTCTTTGGCTTAGTAAAAAAAGAAAAAAAAAGGAATAGTCACATATTTGTAGTCATGAAAAGCCTTGAATGTGGGCAAACATCAATTTTCCCACTAACCCAGTTCCCATCCCCCCGGGAAGGCTTGGTTCTGAACCATGTTCAAGTTATCACTAGTTGGGTTGTCCATGCACTGGTCTCTGATTTGCTTTTGCAATAAATTAAAAATGCATTAAATATATTTCATACACAGAAATATTAAGTGACATCCATGTACCTATCACCAGCTTTAACCACCTTAATGTTTTTCCATGTGCTCAAAATCTTGTTTTTTGTTTTTCCATAAAGAAATAAAACATTGCAGATGTAGCCTGAGGTCTATGCGCCATTCCTTCCCTTGCCCTTTTTGTGCCAGTGTAGTCACATCTTGTAGTTTATATCCTTTGCATTTGTGTTTTTGTGCTTTTTCTACATATGTATGTATCTATTAATAAAATATGGTTTTGTTATGGAATGTGCTTTGTGTCACAAGCTCATGGCATCATACTAAGGTATCATTTTGCAAATGTACACCCTCATCAATAATGAACAGATTTCTGTTATTCCCAAATGGCATTTGGTGTTATCAGACTTTTTGATTGGTATTACATGGGATTTCTTTTTCTGTTTTCTCCTAATTTACACTGCCCTGACTAATAATTGGTTAAATATCTTGTCATATGTCTATTGGAACATTGGATATTTCTCTCTGTGGCTTATCTATTTTTGCCCTAACCTTTCCCTTGGGTTGTTCTACAAGTAACGGCATGAATAAACTACATGATGTAATTAATTTAACCATGGCTTACGGAGTCAAAACATAACAGAGCCAGTCATTCATGCTTTGTATCAAAGGGCTACAGAGTGGTTGACTTAGCTCTTAGTAAAGATATTAATCAATTTTATCTCCTCTTCTTTTATTGTAACATAAAAACCATATGGAGCACCCAAAGACCAAGTTAAACACCCCTGCCTACTTCCAGGCCCTTGCATCCTCTAGTACTTCAGATTGGTTTTATTTTATTTTATTTCAGATTTTGTATATATTAGAATGTTCCTTGAAAGAGAAGGTAGAATGTGAATACCCCACTTGTACACCAGTTGTTCCCTCCAAGTGATGTGTAATTGTTCTTTTATTCGGCCATCACTCAGTCCTTCAAATTCTCAGTGGCATAATCTGCTTTTCTCTCACACAAAGGACACCTTGCACCGTCTATTGAATCTATTTCAATCAAGCCTTCTCAGTCATCATTCCTGTCTTCCTCATTGATGCACTCATTCTTACATTTATTCATTCCCACACAAATATTTACTGCACATCTAGTATGTGTCAGGCTTGGAGCTAAGAATGTAAGAATAAGTACCTGAACTCTTTATCTGGCCTCTGAGAACTTACCATTTGGGGAGCAGACAGGTCGGAAGTAGGCTACCACAATACAGTGTGGTGAGAGAAAGGGGAGCAGTGGGCATATGGGAGGCCCACCAGACCCAAACCTGGGGAAGCCCACCTAGTCCAGGTGAGAAGAGCTAGCTCAGTGAAGGTGGAAGCTGCCATTCCAGGTGGAGGGAGCAGCACAGCTGTTGGGCAGGAGATGAAGGAGGGCATGGTACCATCCAGAAAGAGCAGGAAAGTCAGCTGATAGGGAGGGTGTGGAAAGGGATTGACCTTACACTGTTCTAATAAGTTTGGATTTTATCCCAGGAAAGATGGGGCAACACTGAGGGTTTTAAGTGGGAGAGTGTCATGAATAGATTTGTATTTGAGGTAGATCACTCTGTCTGCTGTGCGGAAAATGGGTTTGAAGAGCAAGAATGGAGGCAGGGAGAGGAGTCAGGAGGTTGCTGAGGTCAAGCAGGTAATTGCTGAGGGGACCTGAACTGGGGAGTAGGGGGAGACGGAATGAAGTTAGAAGGCGTATCTGGAAGCATTTAGTGATGGGAGTGAGGAAGGGGGAAGGAGAAGCCAAGGATGAGAGCCAGGTTTTGAGTCAGTCGGGCAAACAGGCAAACTTCCTGCAATGTACTGAGTCTGTCAGTGCAGAGGCCGACAGAGCACAGGGCTGGGGCGCAGCAGGTGTGGGTCCTGTCCTTAAAAGATGCCTCTGAGTGCTCTGTGAGTAGACTCAGCAGAGGTAATGAGAAGGGCCTGGATGAGTGAGTCAACAGAACATGACAATGGATTTGGTGTAGAAAATAGGAGAAAGAGAGAAATCAAGGATGCTTCAGTGTTCTGGCCTGGATAAGTTGGTGAATGTTGGCACCATTTAATAAGCCTGAAAATGCTGAAGAAAAACAGGATCTGAGGAGGAGATTAAGTATGAGGCCTGGAAGGTCTTCTAGTCATCCAACTCATGATGACAAGTGGGTGTTTGGATAAACCAGCCTGCAGAAGTTTCGGCTGCAGATGTGAATGTGAGAATGGCCAACTTTTGCATGATAACCTACAGCCAAGGAACTGAATGAGATCACCCAGGAAGTGGAGATAGAGAGAGGAGGGTCTAGCACTGGGCCCTGGAGTACCCTAACACTTGGAAAGGTGGGGGAGAGGAGGAAGATCCCCGAAGGAGCCAGAGCATGAGTATGAGAACACACATGGGTGAGGGTGTGTCAGGGGAAGGATGGGGAGAAGAGCAGGGGAGGAAGTGAAATTGATGCAGAGAGAGAAAATCGCAGGCACCACGGCCCTTCATAGGGAGGGGTGAACTGCACTCCCCGGGGGGAGCAGGAAGAGTGAAAGAGCACTGGGAGAGAACTGGGAAGAGAACTGACTTGCAAAAGAGGCCCAGAGGAAGGGGTGCCCACAAGGACACAGAGAAGTGAGCACAGAGGTTGAAGGAGAGGACAGGAACGGGGGTTTGAAAAGGAGAAAGGGTCTTGAAGAGAGTGTGGCCAGCAGTGCCGATGCTGTTGAGAGGTGAAGTAGATTAAAAACTCAATTGTGCCCAGTGAATTTAGGGGCAAGGGTGTCGCTGGTGACTTTGGCCAAAGCAGTTTCAGTGGAATGATTGGAATAGAAATAAGACTGCATAGCAGGTGAGGGATGGGGGAAATGAGCACAGAGAACTCTTTTTAAGAATTTGAGAAAGAAGGAGAATGGGTGAGGCCGGGATGGAAGGAAGAAGGTGTTTTCTCTTTTTTAAGACAATGAGACTGAGCATATTGAGCATGGATAAATGCTGATAGGAAGAAGGAGAGAGAGAGAGAGAGAGAGAGAGAGAGAGAGAGAGAGAGAGAGAGAGAGTGAGTTGAAGACACAGGACAGAGATGGTGTAACTGAAGTAAGGTCCCTGAGAGGTAAGAGTGGATAACATCGAGAACAAAAGCCCTGAATTTTCCTTTATCAGGAGATAGGACACCTTCAGGAGGAAGTTTGACAGTGGACCCATATTGAAAGTTTGTGGCAGGAAGCCAAAGGATAAAATTATTAACTAAGGGCTGGACTCTCCTTTATTTTGAAACAAACCAGGAGTTTAAGGAGGGAGGGGGTGGGCTCAGATCTGCTTGACTTACATAGTGTCTCAGGTGGATTCTTCTTTCTGTTGGATTACTCAGCCAGATGGCATCAAAAAGAAATCTTGTAGGAGAAGACCAGGACGGGGACTCAAGTCTGCAAGGGATGAGCAGGATTGGTGAGGAAGAAAAGGCACCCAGGCACATACAGATTAATCAAAGACCGACGACATTTTACTAACACCTGCAACCTGATGTCACAGTCATTCTGGGACAAGCTTTTCACATGGAAACTTGAGTTCCTAGACTTTTGGATTATGGATAAAATTTGGAGAGGGAGATCCGAAACATTTAGATCAAACTGTGGCCATGCACCCACATCTTCAGCAAGCAGGCCTTCAGATTTCTCAATGCAAATAATGATTTTTATTGTCATCTTTTAGTGGAAGACACTAATCTCAAACCAGACATTCTGGATCCCATCAAGGACACACTGGAAGTAGAACTTGGTAAGCTGGACTTTATCCTCGAATGACATGTGCTTCTGAGAGCAGTTCCAAGTGTGATATAAGGAAAAGAGCACTGGCCTTTCCAGTCAAACAGAATTGGGTGTGAATCTTGACTCAGCCTCTGACTAGTTTTGTGACCTTGCACATTTACTTAATCTTTCTAAACCTCAGTCTTTAAATCTGCAAATAAGTATCAAAACACTGATCTTACAAGGTTGCATTGAGAAATAATGGGACAATGTATGCTGAGTGGCTGGCGCATTGGACATGACCGATAGATTTTAGATTCTTTCTTAACTCCCTGCAGGAGCAGGTGGTTATGTATGTTGGTTAGATCCATTGAGTACATCTGTAAATGTACCAACTTGAGGAGCATTAACCCTTATGAATATGATGTTTGGTATGGACTTTAAAAGCATTGCAGTGGAATACTACAAGCCCTGCTCAAACAATTTGCATTCTGAAGTAGTGTCTTCTGTTGGGTAGAGGGGAAAGTGACTTCCCTGTGGTCTCCTTTTATTTTGTCAATTTCAATAACATCTATATCTTTCTACACAGCCAAATAAGAATTTCTCTATTTAAAACCAAATGCCAGTTGTTTCACTAAAATAAGCGCTCTCATACATGTGAATAAAAGATTTATTTTTGCAGAAATAAATGTAAAAGTAGACATTATGGTGTAAAATCAGCAGGTGGCAGTAGTGGCCTACCTTGATTACAGAAATTGCAGTAGCCATATGGGCAATATCACAAGAATGGAAGGAGGGAGAAAGGAGGAAAAAAATAAATTAATTTGAAATAGTCAAGTTACACGTGATGGCATTAGTGAATTTAAGGTATCACTGGTGAAAAACATTAAGGTGCAATGATGAGTTTTCAAATGGAGTTCCTAATCATTTCATGGTTAGATAGTAAGCGTGAGTCACAGCATACCTGGGTAACCCTCGTGGAGAAAATGGGTAGAAAGAAGAAAATCTAATAACATTCGTGCTCATCCTGAGGGCATTGTTCAGAAAAGTATTGTTCAGAAAAGGGCATTGTTCAGAAAAGCATCTGAATATCTAAATAATTCTTTCTTTAAACTACATGCTACAATAAACTCATGATTTTCATTTAATACAGAAATATTGGTTAGGAAAACGTTTTCTATTGATGCACCTTTTCTTCAATGGTGGTGTAGAAGGCAGAGCTGGTCACTGAAGCTCCTCGTTTTCCTAGTGTCTCTATCAAGACTTTTAGTGATATGATCAAGCTCATCTTCATTTTAGGAACAACAGTTCCATGGTTGAGATAACAAAATTGCCCATTAAAGACAAATGTACCTGGTTTTGTTTGTTTCTGAGTGAGAGCTATGTAGGTGTTTCGTTATTTCTGACACAACTGTTCTACCTGCAAACCTGTCGGTGAACGGTCTTCTGGGCAAGTCTTCCTCCCCCGCACAGGACAAAGTGCTCTCATTGGTGCCTTACTGTTTTCTCTGGCCTCTGCATTTTCAGGAAAGCCTTTAACTATTAGCTGCAGAGCACGATTTGGCTTTGAAAGAGTCTTTAAGCCTGTGATAAGATGGTACATCAAAGATTCTGACCGGGAGTGGGAAGTCTCAGTACCTGAGGCGAAAAGGTAAGAAAAAACTCTTGGACTCTATTCTCTGTTACCCAGAGGAGAAGCTTCCACCTTTAGAAACTTCTAAAATACACAGAGTCGAACAGTGTAGCCAACAACACCAATTAGTGGTGAAAATGAAAGTACAGAAATGCAAAGTGAAAAGGGCCATAAAATGAAATACTTAAGTTGTTTTAAAGCTCAATTTGTAGCAACAGTGTGATGTGGCTGCTATAAAAGTCAAGCTATGAAGCAGACAGACATACTGACCTAGGCTTCAAGAGAAGTAGCACGTCCAACAAATGGGAAAGAAAGCCCCAGCTCCCACCTTGCTCGTGCCACCCACTCAGAGCACATGGTGAATTCAGGGTCACAGATGTGCGGAGTAGTGTGGAAAGTGTCCAAGGGAAGTGGCTCCATTATAAGGAGTCTGGCAAAAAGGTATGTGAAGTGGGTGAGGCACAGTTGAAGCAACTTAACTTAGAAAAGGAGACTCAGAGGTTGGCCGTCTGTCTTGAAGTACTTAGGAGCTATCATGTATTATGAGAAATTAGACCTAGTTTATTGCTTCCTGGAGCCCAGAACCCAGTTCAGTGGTCAGAATCAGTGGTGAGAGGTTTTGACCAATAGAAAGCAAAAGTCTAGATGTCCAGAGCTAACCAATGTCTCAAAAAGTTGGTCTCCAGTCCCCAGAAGGGTCAAGGGGCTTGGGTCCAATCATCCCCAATCAGACGTGTGGCTAAGGATGCAGTCTCTCATTTTTCCAAGATCTCACCCAAAGTAGGAGTCTATGCATTCAGTACCCTCTCCTCATTTTTGGAACATTTCAATGAACAAATATGCCATCATTTTGAAAAGTATACATCATTACAAAAAATAAAGGACAGATTTTGATAACAATAATAAAATGTAGCGAGAATTCCTAAGTTTCGGGAAGTCATTGGGGTCCATCTTAACCTGACGTTACATTAAGGTTCAGAGGAGAGGCAAAGAGAGTATACTTGATGTCACCCACGCTCGGGTTTGAGTTTCTTCTCCATCTAGTGGCAATGTGACCCTTAACCCCCGCGAGACTCCATCACCCCATCCATAATCCATGGATAACAACGTCCACATTGCAAGGTCACTGTAAGGGGCAGATACAGGCAGGGTCATACGCTTATCACAGTCAGAGTAACACAGCCTAAAACATCATCCCCGAAACCTGATTTCTTAATGTGAAGACACATTGTAGACTGGCAAAACTGTGAGTAAATGCCAAGACTCACAACTCCCTGGATGGGACAGAATGGCATAGGCCCCAGAGTCAGGCTCCCCAGCGGTGTGACCCGGGGCTGCTCACTCACCTTCTTTGCCTTTTTTGTGTCGCTGGCTAAGTTGGGATGATCGTATCATTATTTTGTAGGGTTCCTGGGAGGTGAGGAATGGAGGAGATTAGAGAGTCCACATTCACTGCTCAGAAGAATGCCCAATGCATAGTAAACCCGCAGCAGGAATTAGTCCTTTTTAATATTGTTGTTCCAGTATTGTTATTATCTGTTCTTGTGGGGTTTTCTTAGAGTAAGGAAGGTCAGACGAGGCCCCCAAATAAATTACATCTTAGTGTAAATGCTTAGTAGAGTCAACAATTTAATCAACAATGAGGCCTCTTTGACCATCTTACATTCTTCTGGATCTTCTTATACTATAGATCTCATAGTTCTTCTGATAGCCAAACTGGTGGCTGCTTATAAGAGTTCCAAATGCTGTGCATGGATGTTATTTTATGTAACTAAATGGGTTACATGGTGTGGTGTTTTTTCCTCTTTTCCCAGTATTAAATCCACTCTAAAGGATGAAGTCATTGAGCGTGATGTCATCTTGGAGGAAGTTACTCGGAGTGATCTTCACAGGAAGTTTGTTTGCTTTGCCCAGAACTCCATCGGGAACACCACCCAGTCGATCCAACTGAAGGAAAAGAAAGGAGGTATGTCTGGAAGGTTGTCCCAGAATACATGCAACTGCTTTTACTTGAGAGGGGAGGAACTTTCCTACAGAATAGAAATAATGTTGATAGCAATTGACATTCTCCAGATGCAGACATTGTTCTAAGCAATTGTGTTAACCCATTTAATACCTTGACAAAGCCAGACGACAAGTAAATTGCGTATTAGTGGTCCAGAGCTGGTCCTCTTACCTAAAACTCTGCATATGGGGGCTGTGTTGGTAAAGCCAATCATTCATTCACTCACTCACTCATTCATTCATTCTACGGATACCTACAGGGCATGCCCTCTGTGGCAGGCATTGTGCTAAGACCTAGCTCCCTTTCTTATTTTCCTTTCCTGGCTTCCAAATCCAGAGAATATGATGGATTCATGTTCTGATGGATGGAGAATGGAGGCGAGAAAGAGTAATCTTGCTCAGTGTTTGGAATGATATATCACGGACCATAGCCTTTTAAAAAGCTGGAGTAGAAATTCCAGGTGAGAAATAGCTTTAAATTGCTTCAAGAAGATGGCCAGAGATGAGGTTGATATCATTCATTCATTCACTCATTCAGTTAATAGTTGACTGTAGCACAAGCAGGTTTGAATGTGTGTAAGGCTTAAGCCAAAGTTTGCTCCTGGCCTGTAGTGGATGCTCTATCGAGGTGGCTTCCCTCATTGGGGGTGCGAAGGGGAGCCCTGTGTTGGGTACCAGGGAGGGTACAAAGGTAAGCCACATGTGACTCCAGGTCTCAGGAAGTTTAAACTTAGTAGGGGTGATAATCCATGAAAATAATTTACAGTATACAGTGTGAGCGATGCAATGGGTTATGTGGAAGTTCATAGGGGAAAAATAAATGAACTGGCTACAATGTATTTCCCAGGTCATGTTGATCAGGAATTGCCCATTCCCCTGGATCTAGAGTTTATTAGAAGATAGTCCTCAAGATGTGATTTAAAACATTCCTAGGTTCGAAAGAACTGCTGCCGGCGGCAGCGATTTTGATAAAATAAGGAGGCAGGAGAGGGTCCTGGGTGGGCCACGTGTCGGCCTGAGTGGGCTCGGCCCAGGACTGCTGCCTCTGCACCTGCTCACGGCCGCTGTGTTTCCCCAGTGCTGTTCCTATACCTCCTGCTGGGCACCGTCGTGACGCTGGTGGGCGTGCTGGCGGCGAGCGCACTGCTCTACAGGCACTGGATTGAAATAGTCCTGCTGTACCGAACCTACCAGAGCAAGGACGAGACGCTCGGGGGTAAGGTCGCCCCAACATAGGCCCCTCCGACTTGCCCTCTTGTAATTGACTTAGAGCAGGGCAATAGAAAATGCCATCACTGACCCTTGGTTTTGTTTCCTCAGAGTTATCTTAGGTGAGAAAACTTCAGATGCCTCCTGCCAGCCAGGGCAGAGCTTGTGGGAGGACCTCAAGAAAGGGGGGTCCCCTGATGGTTAAAGTCATGCCCCTGAGGTTTCGAGACCTTCCTCCAAGGCTGGTGGCTTCACACTGGGAAAGGCTGGAGAAACAATGGTTTTGTTCATTCCGGTTACCAGGAATCTTGCAGACAATGCTATTGTGAGACGTGCTGGACTTGAGAATAATCTCTCTGCTAACCAACCTAAAGCAAGATGTGCAAACAACCTAACAACTCTGTGCCTTAGTTTCCTCATTCATAAACTAAAATTGTAACAGCATCAATCACAAAGATGCTGTGAGGGCTCACTGACATATTATCAAGACATATTAAGCATTTAGAATGGCACCTAGCACATAGTACGCACTCAGCACGTGCCAGCTATTGCTGTTAATATTTTTTGAGGACTGGAGCATATGCCCACTGTGACTATTAGCTATTTTAATTTTCACAGCAATCCAGTGAACCAGGCAGAGAGAGATGAAGTCATGTGCCCCAGACTGAGTCACTGTAGGCATTAGAGCTTGGGATGCAGGCCCAGGTTGTCTGGCTTAAGAGTTCCCATCAGCTATTACTTCCGTTAGCCTCATCTGTACAATGAGAAGCTTTAAGATGGTGGAAATGCTGCCAAAAGTGGGAAATCCTGCAAAATGCAAATACTATTACTATTAATAAAGTTTCTGTCAATTTTCCCATGAGACGGGATAATCATGTTCATTAATGTTTGCTTCTTTAGAATAGAAAAACTACTTCTGTTTTTTTCTAGTCCTGGAATTCTCTAAGGTTAGAATGCTTGCAGTCTTAGTAAATGATTCTGTTGCTCGGAAAGAGCAGAAGCCCCTTCTGCTGGATTTCTTGGGTAATTATTTCTCTCACTGGGAGGCCTCTCCAAACTCCAGTGCTTTTTCCACGCTAGGAATTCAGTGAGGAGCTGTCAGATCCCTGGGGAAAGGGCGAGTAAAGAAATGCATCGGTTATATCTTTCTTTCGATGAATTACTGAGAATGCATACTAGAAATCCTTAGGCCAAAAGTGTTTTTAAGATATATTTTTTAAAAAAATTAGCTTTTTCAAATGGAGAAAATTATCGAATCTATGTCTTAATCATTTCCCTAGGCAACTTCGTAGGTCTTTTACTGAAATGCTGTTTACCGTAAGATTCTGGAGCTTGTGTAGTAGACTCAATCAACTGTGAAACATTTCAGTGCGTCCTTTTACTATTTTGCAAAGAGAAAATAGTAATCAGATCCAGAGGCAGAACCGGGTTGGTTTTTAAGCACAGTGTTGCAGTGCCCTCTGCTGGACAATCTGATGTTTTTCAGCAAAATGATTGCTTTGGGGTTAATGCTGAATATCTAAAATTTTAGAGAGACGTAGAATGTCAGAATTGTGTAGGGCCAAGGAGGACAAATAATACTCTGCTCTCTAGTTTTATGACTAAAGAAATGTAGTTTCCAAATTATAGGAAAATAATAGTTTGCTGGGGTTTCACATGATATGGAAGGAATATAGGCAACTCTGGTGTGTGACGCGTTTGTTCTGCAAGGCACCTGCACTTACCTGCCAGCTGCACCCCTCGAGTTTCTCCTCTACACCTGCACGATGAGGTGCTTCACATATTAGCCTCCTGACCCACCTCAGCTCTTTGGTGTCCTCCTCCACTCTCGGACCTTCCTTTTGGGTGGCTGCACTTCTATCCGCTGAGGTCTCTTTTTAGATCCACCTTGAGCAGATACACTGCTAAATAGCATCAGACCCCAGTGCTGTTGTTCACCATTTTGTAACAACCCTTGACAGGGGTTGTGGGAAGTGCTGGGATATGAACCCTGTGTGTCCCATTCCAAAGCGAAGTCCAGCGAGTTAACCTTTGGAATTTTCTACTTCCAGTTACTTCCTTAGTGTGTCCCAGTAATCAATGTGCATTTGTAATAGTATAGTTAACAGAAGCATATGAAATCTTTAAAATACCCTCTAACAAATTCTATAAATATGTTTTCCATTGGAAGGGAGGGGAATGGACATTTATGTTGTGGCTGCTATGAGCCAGACACTAAGTACTTCATATACATTCGTTATCTTACGCAGCCCTTAAAACAGGCCTCTGGGGAGTTAATGTTACTCTCATTTACATATGGGGATTCAAACACAAGTGTATGAGCTGTCAGCTCTCCAGGGAGGTTTTATTTTCTCCTACGGATGAGTGTGCTGGGTGTCGGCAGTACTTTGCTCACTGGATCTCAGCACGCTTTGATAGCTCAGTCTCCTCTTTGATGTGTAACTAATGAGACAGAAACTGCAGATGCAAAGAAGGCTCAGAGGAACTCCCGAGGACGTGAGGTTTAATCATAGAAGGCCCCAGCTGTTCAATGTTACCTCCCTGACGATGCAAGAGTGCTTCATAAATTAGAACTCGATTGTGGGTGGACGGTCAATACCACTCAGTGGTGTGGTTTTGAAATGGATGCAGCTGCTGCTGTTAATTTTTCAAATCGATTTTTTAAGGTCTCAAATCTTATTTCTTATACATTTACCATATGTTTCAAGCATGTGTATGTGTACCGTGGTAGTAAAAAAATGTAAATGGCTTACTTTTTTTGTTGTTCCTCTTCCTCAGATAAAAAGGAATTCGATGCTTTCGTATCCTACGCGAAATGGAGCTCTTTTGAGAGTGAGGCTGCGTCATCTCTGAGTGAAGAACACTTGGCCCTGAATCTGTTTCCTGAGGTTTTGGAAAACAAATATGGTTACACCTTGTGTTTGCTTGAAAGAGACGTGGCCCCAGGAGGAGGTAGGTCCTGCATGCTGAGGAAAAATACAGAATAAAAAGGGCAGTTAAATGTAAGCTCTTTCTAAGTGTTTTCTGTCATTCTTTCTTTGGGGATGTGCATCTTTTTGTGAGATTTCATGAACTTAGAACATCTCGGGCAGCAACACAGAAAAACATGTATTCAAGTGACCTGTACCATCATCATCAAAAAAAAAAAAAAATCCATCTTCAGAAGAAAATAATAATATGGGGACCTAGGAAGCCCGTCCAGAACAAAGATATCTTTCCTGGCTTTGCAGCAGGAGCTTGTCTCTGTTGTCCCAAACAGGTGCTCTGCTACCCCCATCCCCGATTTCTGGGACTGTGCCCTCCACAAACCTCAGCACTGTTCAAGCAGGCTCCTCAGGCCTGGGTCCAGCACTGGCCACCGTGAGACATCCAGACCTCGGGCTGTCCTGGCCTCCCTGGCCTCAGATACTCCCACCGAGGAGTCTGGGACATTCAAGGACCCCTGTTATTCCAACTTACCTCGTTCTAACGTGCTTTGCTCCTAGAGGAATTGGCAATTTGGGGAGCCAGATCACAAAGGGAGGAATGTAAAACTGAGGGTCACTAGACACTAGAGTATATCTTCAACTATCAATAGAGTTGATACATTAAAAGTGATAGCGTAAACACTTCCCCTTTCCACCTCATGTAAGAGTACCCATTACAACAAACTCTCTGGATAGATCTGGGAGATTGAAGGTTATTGTGACTCACGGTTTAACAATTTCAATTGAAAATATTTAAATTCTTTATTTCCAGTCTACACAGAAGACATCGTGAGTATTATTAAGAAAAGTAGAAGAGGAATATTTATCTTGAGCCCCAACTACGTCAATGGACCCTCTGTCTTTGAACTGCAAGCAGCCGTGAATCTTGCCTTGGCTGATCAAACACTGAAACTCATTTTAATTAAGTTCTGTTGCTTCCAAGAGCCAGCGTCTCTACCTCATCTTGTGAAAAAAGCTCTAAGGGTTTTGCCCACAGTCACGTGGAGAGGCTTAAAATCAGTTCCTCCCAGTTCCAGGTTCTGGACCGAAATGCGCTACCACATGCCCGTGAAAAACTCTAAAGGATTCACGTGGAACCACCTCAGGATTATCCCAGGGGTTTCTCACTGGAAAAGACTCAGTAAAACAGAAACCACTGGGAGGAGCTCCCAGCCCAGCGAACAGTGGAGCCACCTCCCCTCCAGTCCCAGGGACAGAGACACCGCTGGGCAGAACACACAGCATGGATCAGGCTGATAAGGAATTCAAACAGTTTTCTGACAGCCACAAGCAAGCCTGACAGACACTGGAGCGAGACTGGGGCTACAGTTTGGAGCCTTTGATTTCCTGGACTGGACAAAGGGAGAGTAAATCTTCTAGACCTTGTGTATACTCAGCACACAACACCCCCGAGATCTTCCTAGTGGTCTGAGCAGAATCAGCAGGTGTGGCTTCCTGGTGGCCATGGACTGTCACATCTACCTTGTATTATACATACGACTTTATGTACACGCGCTGTCAAATAAATATTTTATTAGAAACGAGTGATTTAAACTCTGCCTAAAGCATTTATGTAAAGAAGGCAATTTTTACTCCATGTTCTCCCACCAACTCTGGAGCACAGAAAGTAAGTATCAAAGGTCAAGACCGATGGGACACAGAGTAGACAGGGCTGTTGTTAGTTTCTACTGTGTCTTTATGGGAGGTGCCCCCTCTGGGTGGAAGGAGCCCTTTCCTTTGGGCCGATGTAGTCTGTGCCAGGGTATAGGCTTGGGGAGACGGGTAGGGTTAATCTTAGTTCCTCCTCATGCTGTTGGTCAGAGACCTTTGTTCTGGACATAAAGTATACAGCCTTACCCTGGACCTACAGTATACAGCCATACCCTGGGCTACTGGAAGTAGGAGCCAATTGGGCCAAAATTATTAGGCCAGTTGAGGAGACAGGGAATGTGTGAGCAGTTCCATACAAAGTAGAGAGGCAGTGGCAAGAGTCAGCAGCCAAGCTAAGAGTCTGGGAAATCAATGTATGCACTGGTTAAAAGGCAGCGAGAGTGGAGCTTGAATAGGCTTTAGTCTGACCCGTTCGCTTACTGTGTGCTTCCTGACCTAGTGGTCTCTGTTTTAGCCCTCCTAAGTAATGGAGTGATGGGCTGGAGGGCTAGTTAGTTGATCCTGATAGACAAAGCTAATTTCATTCTCACAATTTTGTTTTCTTTACGAGAGTTCAACCTGCAGTTAAAATAGTGTTCTAGTCATACATGGATATCAAACCCTCACTCTCTGTCCTCCGTGATGGAATGGAGTGATTCATCATTTGAGCAATAAAGAAAAGCAACTTCTGGACTCATTCACATGTAATGGGTCACATCCATGCAATGTGATCGAGTTCAGAGTGGCTTAAAGTCATGGCCATCTGGCCACTCCTGGTGCCTGTGTGAAATGCTCTTCTGCTCATTCTTCACAGAGGCACCCACATCATAAAAACCACGGTGGCTTTGGCACCAAACAACATCCTTGTTGGAAATTTCAGTGATAGAGTTAACGATGAGTTAAAGGGTATAAATTATTCCTGGAGGAAGTTTCTGGTGGGAAGGATCATTGCAGGGTGTCAGCGGGGAGGAACCCACACCGTCATTGTGCCTTTGTGCTCTGGTGATGGCCAGGATCCCTGGCTTTTCTGCCAGCTGCTCTCTGAGATCTAAGGCTTAGAAATTTCTTTTGGCCAGTCCATCCAGGTTTATCTTATTCTCGGATAGATGTTATCGTAACTGTGCTATCCAGAGGTCTAGAGTTTTGTCCTTAGCTTTATAGGAAATCAAACTGAGCCTCAGGTTTGTACATACACAAAAGGATACATATCTAACTCTGATGTTTACAGGATATACTCTTTCCAGGTTAGTAGGTACCCTGAACACGATCAATTAGCATTCAGAACAAAGAATTATTTGTGTTTCTTACATGAAAGTCAACCAAAACAAAGCAGATAATCAAAACAAATGTTCTATGTATTAGAGACTGGTTGTAATCAAAGAATTGGATGCAGTGGAATACAATTAGTGAAAAGTATTATTTTCCTATCACACTTCTAAATAGGGTGGTATATGTTCTGGGTCCTGGTTTACACCTGCTGTCCAGATGTAATTATTATGGTGTTCTCTTTCACTCTGAAAAAGTGTGGATGATGAAAAGTTTGGATGATGGCCAGACTATTTCTAATACACACTGTAGAGTCCTCTTTCCTGGCCCTGTATGATAGCCCAGCCAGTTCTCACAGCTTTCCTGGTCTCTTTTAGTTTTTAATACGTGTATTCAACATATATATTAGCTCCAGGTTGTAATTCCAGGTAAGATGGAGTAAACACACATCATCCTGTCTCTTCTATATTTCAGCTACAAAACCTGTGTAAAATGCATAAAAAATCAATTCGAAGGTCCTAAAAAGTAAATAAAAGCAGAAAGTTTGCAGAAGAAAAGAATTCAAAATTCCACAATTTAATTTTCTTTGAATTTCTCTTGACTTAGGCTCAGTACAGTTTGAAACCCAGAAGTAGACCCTGTGATAACAGGAAGTGCTCCAGACGAAGCACTCTACCTCTAGCTTGAAGACTAGGAAAGGGGTTTCCCAACTCTCCTGCACTTTCCCTTCTGTGCTCTTTCACTGCCCAGCCCCTAAACAGTCCCGTGGTGGCAGCGGTGGCACCAACAAAAGCAGTGGCAATAGAGGTCCTCAGGGGCCTACATCTCTGAGGAAGGGGAATTGTCCACTTTGATGTAAGGAGCTATGGTCTCAAGAGGGTGTGGCAAACTTCTATTGTTTTTTTCTCTTTTCGTGTCCTCTTACCATTTGGTTACATAGGTGGAAATAGTTATGGGAAGTGCACTGCACAGTGGGGTAAATAGAGCCCCAATACTCTGGCCAGAGAACTGCATGGAGGAGAGGAGGCCTATGGAACCAGAAAGTGCCGTGGAGATGGCAGACAGAGAAGGGCTCAGGAAAATGAACCCATAAAGCAGTTTATAAGCTCCTGGGCTCATCCCCATACTGTGCATGTATGACTCTGACCCTAAAATGGAATACCGTAAACTTTGAGAATTGAACTATAGGATAGAACACTTCTGAGTCCCAGACTGGCCACTGTAAGGTGTGTATGTGTATCTATCTATATCTATATCTATATCTATCTATCTATCTATCTATATATATAGTAAGCCTATATAGGACAGAAAGGCAGTGAGGTAGAACTGACATTGAAACCACAAGTCTGCTTAAAGTTTGGGACCTTAATCCCACTGGGTCAATTGCCTGCTAAAACAAAAATAACAGTCTACATAGGATTTCAACAAGACTCAGAATCGTATAACATAATATTTAAAACATTCAGGATGCAATCTGTTGAAAGCAAAATATGTCATTTTTCTCTTAGTATTTTCAAGGTAGGTAGATATAATATGTAAGTTATCTACAACATAAAGGAGACAGGGTAGGGAGACTTATAATAGTAAGGTATCTACATACCACTTGAAGTGGTAAAATACTGATTCTAAGTAGAATGTGAAAACAATAGTATGTTATATTTTAATTCAAACAAACAAAAAAAACACCAAAAACCAAATAGTGTTAAAACATGATAGACAATGGAATATTATTCAGCCTTTAAAAAGGAACTGGTGTGATATCCTACAACTTGGGTGAACTTGAGAACATTATTCTAGGTGAAATAAGCCAGACACATAAAGGCAAATACTGCATGATTCCACTTATATGAGATATCTAAAATAGTTAAATTCATAAAATCAGAGACTGAAATGGTGGTTATCAGAGACTGGAGGCCAGAGGAAATGAAGAGCTATTAATCAACAGACATAAGGTATCAGTTAAGTAAGACGAATAAGCTCTAGAGATCTGCTGCACAGCATTGTACCTATAGTCCACAATAATGTATGGTACACTGAAAATTTATTAAAAGGATAAATTTCATATTAAGTGTTTTTACCACTTTAATTATTCCATTTAAAAAAACCCACATTTTAAAATGGAATAATAAAAATGTTTAAATAACCCAAAAGAAAAGAAAAGAAAAACAAAGGAACAAAGAAACTGAGGAAATAAACAGAAATCAAATAATAAAACTATAGATAAAAATCCATACATAATAATTATATTAAATATAAAGTATCTAAACAATAATTAAAAGACAGAGATTAACATCATGGATTTTTCAAATGACTCAACCTTATTTTTATTAGAGATATCTCCTTACAATAGACATACTTCAAATATAATGACAAACGTAAGTTAAAAGTAAAATTTTAGATGCAAATACATTATATGAGCAGTAATTAAAAGAAAGCAAGATTGTCTATGTGAACATCAGCTAAAGCAGACTTCAGAGCAAAAGAAAAAAATTACCTGGGATAAAGATAAATATTACATTATGATAAAAGGATAAACTTACCAATAAGACATAACAATTTTAAATGTGTGTGCACCTAACAAAAGTGCTTTGAAAATACATGAAGGAAAAATTTACAGAACTGAAAGGAGAAATAGAAAAATCCACAATTACAGTTGGAGACTTCAACATTCTTCTCTCAGGTATTGATCAAACTGGTAAACAGAAATTTAACAAGGATATGGAAGAACTCAACAACACCACTGAACTGGTGTTTTTCTGGACCTGCTTGACAATTGTAGAATTCTCCACTGAACAACAGCAGAATACACATTCTTTTGATGTGTGCATAGAACATTCACCAAGATAAACCATATCCTAGATTGTAAAATAAACATTAACAAAAATTAAAAAATTGAAATTATACAAAGTATGTTCACTATTTGTAATGAATTTAGACTAGAAATTATTAACAGAAAGGTGACAGAAAAATCTTGGAAATTAGAAAACATATTTCTAAATAATCAATGGATAAAAGGAGAAGTCTCAAAGGAAATGAAATAATATTTTTAAATGAGTGGAAATAGAAATGCAACATATCAAAATTTGCTGGGTGAGACCACAGCCATGCTTAGGGGGAAGTGTATAATATTAAATGCTTATAAAAGAAAAAATATCTTAAATTAATAATCTAAACTGACACATTAGGAAGTAGGAGGAAGGAAATAATAAGGATAAAAACAGAAATTGATTCCAATGACTATCAGAAAACAATAAAGAAAATCAATATCACTGAAAGCTTGTTGTTTGAAAAGAGCAATAAGAGCAATAAAATTGATAAACCCCTGAAAAAAAAAAAGGAAGACGCAAATAACCAATATTAGGAGTGGAAGAAGAGCTATCACTACAGAGTGTTCACATGTTTAAAATGATAATAAGAGAAACTATGAATACTATACAGATACATATCTGACAACCTAAATTAAATA